TAAACAATCATTATGCTCACAGTAGATTTCGGGGCATTAGGGCGTTCTCAAGCGCTTCAATCAATGGGTCAGAGTATATAATTTATCAATTATATAATCATGTTATCATTATCAAAGTTAAATTTCAATCAAAAAATATATCATTATGCTATCATTATCAAAACAAATAGTTAAATTTTAACATTCATTCACTGATGCTCGATGATATCCGAATTAAAAACTCAGTATGAAAGCTTATTTTCGATGCTTGAAATTTTTAACCGATGCTTGAATAATTAGTCACCGGTTCCAATCTCTAGAAAAATATCAAAAAACAAATATCTTTTACTAATTTTCAAAAGCAAAAACTCAGTAACTCTTATTTCAAACTTTAATAAAAATGAATAGATCGTAATAGAACTAAACTAACAAGAATTAATTTTTTTAGTAAAACTAAAATGAATATTTTGAGATCCAACAAATCTAGTTACAAGACGTCGAAAACCAATCATCATAATAACATAACCGTTTAAAATGCCACAATCTTTAGGATGCTGTTTTATAAGGATTCGAGAATCTATAATACCCTGTTTACCATTTTGGGCCGGTCCATGTACATTCATATATTTTTTAAGTTGATCATCTGCAGAAAATAAAATATCATTTAACGTTGTGAGATTTGGCTTGTTATCTTTTTTTGACCAAAACATATATTTTCGTTTTAAAAGTGTCTCTTCATCTTCATTTTCGATATATTTATCAAGAGAGGCTAAATCATTTGTGCTTGAATATGAATTCCAATCATTATTCGTTGCTTTTACTAAACCCGAGAGATTAATATATTTTAATTCTATTACTGAAGGATTTAAGCCTCCAAGAATAAGATCAACAAAACCGAATCTACCATCTCCCCTTGGTTTATTGTTATCAATTACTAAACACAATTCCGGCAATTCCGGAATTTGATTTTCTTGCAATAATAGTTCAGCAACGGCTTGCAACACTGCCTCAGATGCAGATGATAATGAGAAATTTGATCGTGACTTAAAACTTCAAGTATTTTAAGATTAGTATTCGATTCTTCAGTTATATTCTTCGTGACTCTGGCATTAAGTTCCTTAAGAATAGTATCCGATTTTTCAGATTCTTTCTTCACTTTCTTAATGGCTCTGGAATCCGTATAATCTATATTGTTTTGTTTTACTTCAGCCGATTTATTTACATCAGACTTTATAAAAAATAAGAAAAAAAATTTTATTAGATTAGAAAAATTATGTAAAACAATATACACCAATACCAATTCCAGCTTGTAAGTTCTGAAGTTTCTTGATTATGAAGAAGATGCATGACCAACTTTTCTAGAAGTTAGTAAATCTCTCAAAGAAACCCTGGATGGCCAGATGCAGGAAACCACACAGGACCCCGAATAATATTGTATATATAGATGTTATATTGAAATTTTGGATGGCGAAATAAAAAAAGGGAAGAGATAAAAAAAAAAAGTTATATTTGTTGGTCGGATAATTTGTACAAAATAAAGTTAAATATTGTCACTTTTTCGTGTTAGGGTTATAAAGAAAAAAAGACAAATCATATGATGAAATACAAAAAGAAGTTCAAGGAATTATTCGTCAGATATAGAAAAATAACTTTTGGTTTGTTAGAATTTTTCTTTAAATAGCTCTAATAAAAGTGGATATAATTTGTAAAAAGTTGTTCGGGGTCCTGACCATATCCCTATTGCACATGCTAAGGCGTAGTCAGCAAGATGCGCATCCAATTCAACTACTCGCGGTTACCCCTTTCCGGGACGTGACCATCAAGTGCACGAGAAGTCTGACAAAAAATCACCATCCCGAACACACTCCAAAAAAATTATTTGAAGTATACTTCAAAACTTACTTTTTTTTCTTTCAAAGCCCTTGAATAATATTATGAATTCCCTGCGAAATATTTTGATCATCGTCCATAGTTTCTAAAGTTTTGTAAAATGTACGATTGATCGTTGCCTTGTTCATATTTTTATCCGCCCATGAAATATAATGATTATATGACCAATCCTCTGGGGGAAAGATCACGAAATATATTGCATAAGGAGCTCTCCATTTTCGGATTTCTTCGACTACTATTATGAAGAAAACTCCAATAAGTATACTACAAAACAGGTACATAAATTAGCTTCTACACATACAATTTGAAAACTCTAAGTTACGCGTCTTAAGTAATTTCTGTTTAATGATTATTTCATTTGTTTCTTTGCCTTGTTTTTGTCCTTTCAAATACTCAATAAGTTGTTCTGTGCTATGTTTTCGACTCAGCTCTTTCAAGATACTTGCGTCTTCTTCTAATAATGTCTTGGTTGAAGTAGAAATTGGTGTAGTTACCGTATACAGGTTTATTAAAAAAGACGCGTTGAAGCGTGACAAAGAATGTTGGAAATTAATTTTAATTGGTGTGATGATCATTTTTAAAACAAGTGTTTCACATTAAACAAGGGTTAGCGTCGCACTATTGCAGTGCGTGATAGGAACAAATCATAGCTCACCTATACAATCAGGCAATACAATCAGGCAAATGTTGTCCGATTGTGCGATTATTCGTATAAACACGAAATAACGTGCAGGAGTGTAATTTTGAATTTTGGCCTAAATTAAAGTTAATTTGGGTCATTATTCGAAATAACACCCCTGTGTGTTATATAGTGTTCCGCAAAATGGATTCGAGATTCGATCTAATAATATTCGATTCAGATTCATTATTATACACTATTCAAATACATCGAGCTAATAGTGGCAGATATCGAACTTCATCGAATAAATGAATGTACAGCATATATTAATAGGATTGTGCGTGGATTAAGAAGATTCAGCTTGCTTCTTGTGAACGTAGCGCGTTTATTTCTTATCCTTATACTTATGAGGTTATGATTAGTACGTAATTAGTCAAGTTCCAAATTAAGCATTTATTAATATACTTACCGCATAAGCGTAAAATAACGTTCGTGTGCGTCATTTTAAACATCGGGTGCTTCAAAAATAACATACCTCTTCTAAAAATAAAAAAATAAAAAATAAAACGATATTAAAAAAAAAAAAAAGGGATTTATAAAAGCACAAAATAAAATAGTTCGATAAATGTTTAAGCAAGTTAAATTTTCTGGAAGTAAGATCGGAATAACATGTAATTGCGTCCTCAATTGTCGGTAACACTAGGACTTTTCGTATAGTATCTCGTCGAGGGTTTAAAAAATATAAATATTATTATACCGTACAGTACGTATCTGGTATGTAATAAATGTAATGCGTGGAATCATCCAGGGCAACCATAAAAAGTGCAGCAACGTGATTATGGCGCAGCCACAGTATATATATTGCAGTATCGAATTACAGTAACTGAAATAACAATAAATAACTATTTAACATCGTATAGAAAACAGGAAGTAGCACACTTTCTAATCGATAACTATTTTAACATCGTATAGAAAAATTAACATCGTATAGAAAACAGGAAGTAGCACACTTTTAATCGGGATGGATCTTAGTACAAATTCCTATTTTTTTAATAAATATAAATAAATGTAAACCAGTAATCTTCTATATTTATTGTAAAATCCCGATTTTTTCTTGATGACTTTCAAAACACTTGCAACTATACTTGCTGGCAAAACTACTTGTCCCAAATCCCAAATCCCAATCCCAAATCCCAAATCCCAATTTTATTATGTTTGGGATTGGGATTTGGGATTTGGGATTGGGATTTGGGACAATTTTACTATGTTTGGGATTTGGGATTTGGGTGGGATTTTGAGAGTTTATAGTTTGGGCAGCATGTATACTTGCAACGTTTATTCTTTTTTGGTAGGATCTACTAACCTCGCGTTTTTAAATAACTATTTCTTCTATTACTCGATTAACTAGAAGAATAATACTATTAACTATTTAATAGTATCTATTTACTATTATCTATTAGAGTATCGCCCACCCGCCTACCATACGAATCAACGTCTGGGTATTTTTAAAAGTGTTCCGATCTGAGTTTGTATATTTATTTTTTCTAGTAACTACCATTTTTGACTTTTTTTGCTTCGAATTTTTTAATGGTCTGATGAATTGATAATCATTGATCGGCAAAGACAAAAGCGAAAAATTGTTGATCACTTCTAGATTTGTACAGTGCCGGACAGCAAGAAACATCCACTTTTTATATATAAATATAAAAATGCTTATAACTTACAAACAAAAAATATCTGTCTTACAGATCTGTTGCTTTTATTCTAAGCTACAATTCCGTTAGAATAGATTTTTATTTTTATTATAATTTTAAAAAGTTATTAGAGCCTAAAGTTACTATGTAATCAAAATTTGGCGCTTAATATATAAAAAAAATTGTTTTTATAGATTTTTAACCAATCAGAATCTTGTTACACGAAAAATAGCCAATCAGATTTGAGTATAAATCTCAAAATTTGGCGCTTTTTAAAAAAATTGGATGTTTCTTACTGTCCGGTACTGTACAATATAATTTGAAAAACGAGCTTGATAACTACTCTTGATAAACAATAATTAATTTTGCCTTATATTTATTAACTGGTGTATACATTTTGTTGTTGCTCACTTTCCCAAAGTCCACCTTCCTGAAATGCTATTTCTTCTATTCTATAATTTCAATATTCCTTTTTCCCGACAAGACCCATTCCTTTCACCGACAGTTTATTTAGTCCGTCCAGTCTCTAATAAGACCGGTCCATTACATCTGTTTTCATTACAGCTGTTTTTATAAATTCTGAAACATCTGACAAAAAGCTGACCGATTGAATATTTATCGATTCAATAGGTTTTGATTCGGTAGCGATCATTACTGAAATCATAAACTTATCGAATTGGCAAAGATTCAGTCGGTCTATTTTTTGCCAGACATTTCAGAATTTTTGAAACAGCTGTAATTTTGGAACATCTGGTAAAAAAAAAAGTCCGAATGATTGTTTGGCTGATTCGATAAGTTATTGATTTCGGCATAATTATTGTAACGTTGATTAGTAAATCGAAACTTACGTGAAACATATAAAATACTACAAGGCTCTAAATGACCTCTATTTTTACATCCTAATCAAAGTTCCATCTCTGATCGTAACTCATGAAATACCAGTTAGGCTTTTTTTCAATTAAAGACTTAAGATATTTTATATCATACAGGTTAAGAACTCGACTTATTGAAGATCTGCTAACACTGAATTGATAACTGTTCTAATATTTTCCAGCGTGTATGCTTCGAGAATATTATCACTACCACACCGTAAATAGAGGCCATTTAGAGCCTTGTAGTATTTTATATGTTTCGCGTGAGTTAAACTTTCCATAAATAATAAACGTTACAATAATCATGCCGAAATCAATAACTTATCGAATCGGCCAAACAATCATTCAGTCTTTTTTTTTTTTTTTTACCAGGTGTCCCAAAATTACAGTTGTTCTCATAAATTCTGGGACAACGATAAAAATTGACCGATGATAATTCGGCCAAATTCAATAGTTTTTGAATTTGGTGTTATCGATATTACTGTAATGCCGAAAAATACGAACCAATTTTTATCAATTGTTCCAGAATTTATGAGAACAGCTGTAATGTTTTTAGTCCGGTTTCGATTCAAAAACGGTTTTTAACATTTAACCTACATTTCAACCTCTTAACCATTTTATTGGCTATCAGAGAAAATTAAATCATATGACACCGGTAATCAAAAATAAGTGTAATTTCTGGAATACCTGATAAAAATTATCCGAATGATTTTTCAGCCAATCCAGTTAAGTTATTATCTTGGCATAACGATAATAGATTCGTATACATACGTACGTACGTACATAACTTTTACATTATATAGTGCTGATTATTGCACCAGCATTACTAGACTTTATGAGCCAGCTCTACGAGCATTATTCACATAACAAAAATTAGATATAATTTTGACTTAAGAACTCATACAAACTTATATAATACTTGTTCTACCGATAATTTTATCATTATAAATGTTAATACGTTCAATGTTATAAATTTTTAGTTGAATATTTTATGTTTAGTATGTGCGAAAACTTATGGAGAAGGCTAAAATATTGACAAGAAATATAAAAGCCTCCAGATATAAAATAGGCTTTTATAATAAACATATTACACGAGTAGTGCCGACATTAAAAAGTTAGATATGGTCAAGAATTTTGTCGATTGTTTAAAGATATGACTCAAGAATCTGTTCAAAAAAAATCTTGATTTTATTAATATCTATCACAGAAGTTTTTAATACATCAATATCTTCGAAAGTATTTGAGAAATCAACTTATAAAAGACTTGCTAACATTTAGAATTTACAATTTTCGAATGATAAGCTTTCTAAATTTTTTTCAATTATTCACCAGTGAAGATGCTTTGAAAGCATTATGTTTCTATATTTGACCTGAGATATTCGTAATGGCATAATATTTATATTAGTTACCTGATCTTAATTACACATGTGCGTGCATACATATGAATCATATCAATTTATAGAATCTATTATGCTGAAATCACTTGGGATCTTTGCTAAAAAAATGACCCTCTGAGGCTATGTTGATTTTGTGAATAAACATTAAATTTGCCAACCATCTAGTTATCCAATTTGAATGAATTTTTTTTTATTTTGTAGGCTCTATTGAGATTTACAAAATAAAAAAAAGTTAATTCAAATTGAGTAACTAGATGGTTGGCAAATTTAATTTTTATTCACAAATTCAACATAGCCTTGGAGGATCATTTTCCTAGCAAAGATCCCACTTAGTCAAATTGGTCAAAAAATCATTCTGCTAATTTTTACTAGGTTTCTAGGA